GAAGAAAAGGAGTACTTGATTTCCTTCATTCCTCCAACAAATATTAGTTGTGGGTACTAGACAATGGTTCATAGTATTTTGCAGAGTTTGTGTTCTGAAAGGAGAGACAGCACATGCATGGCACTAGAACCAGTCTCTGTCACCTTTTCAGGTAGAGCTCTGGAGACTGCAGCTCAGATGGTAGAAACCCTGAGCACTGGAGAATGCGGGGTGTGTACGTTTTATTCAGATTAGAATTCATCTGGGAACTTGAAGCTTTTAATGACTGAAAATACCTTTCTAATAACATGAGAGTCTTCATTTTTTACAAAGATCTTCATTTCAAATAAAAAGGAAAAATCGATAGTTATATAGAACTATAACCTAAAGAGCGAGCTAATTATTTGTGTCAACACAATCTTTATAGCCATGGTCCAGGTTTTCCCTTGATTGATGAGCTGGAGTGTTCCCTATATAAATTGGACTTTTATTACAAATGCTTTCTTTCAAAATGATTGATCAGCTTCAAAAATCAATGCGAATTTCATTTTGTGAAAATTTTAATTTTGTGAATAGCCAGGTAAACACATGTAAGACAGAACCTCAACATTTGTACAGCTATTTAGCAGTGAAGAGGTCCTCAAGGTTCAAGATTAATATATTTTTTTAAAAATTCATCTTGTCGACATTGAAAATGTCTAGATGATGGATTACATTAACAAGGTGCTTATTTAATTATAATTAATGATAGAGGCCACATATAAAGAATGGGCTCAATTTTCAGCTGATTTATAGAAATAATGTGTCCTACATAAATCTCTCATTCAATGGGAGCCCAATATATGCAGAAGGGATTGCAAATATATCAAGTGGGCTTTTTAAAACTGCATTTGCCACTTTGTTTGCTCACAATGCTATTTTAAAAGTGAATATATTTCAGGAGTAGCAACTACAGAACAGTTTTGCTTGTCAATCAACCTTACCACTGCTTTTGGCAGGACGTGATTACATGATTGAAGAGGTGAAAAGCAAAGAAGAAAGTGTCAGACTCAGAGAATAAAGAATTTGGAGATGAAAGCTAAAAACATAAGGAAAGAGAAGAAAGAATATTTTATGGTGGGGGTGGTTTATTTGACCAAGAAAAGAGCCAAGTTAAAAGTAACATATTCTTTTGTTTATTTGAAAAAAAGTTATAAAATTCTATCTGTGTACCATACTCTTGGATCACAAAGCAGTTTCTCTTAGAGAAATGCCACCAGAGGGCTGTGCTGGCAGCTTCGGGACCACTAAGAGTTTCTGCAGGAATTCCAAATAATTTGCAACCATATTTACTCCAGATAATACTGATCAGATTTTTATGTTCTTAAGAGTGACCATAAATGATAAACGTGACTAGTCATGTTGAAAAGCACAAAAATGTATGTTGAATACAAAAATATATGCTCTTTTTTCAAAGTTCACCTTCTTCACCAAAAGAAAAAAAATACAAAACAAAAAAAGACAAGTTCTTTGACAGAATATTTGCAAAGATAGAAAAATAGCATTTAGTCAACACTATGTGAGTTTTTGCTGCTGGGATTAATATCATGGTTGTCTTACTGGTTTTCTAGACTATCAATCAACTATGCTTTCTTCTTTGCAATTGTGTTGACAGTAACAACAGTGGGTTTCTCCCCATTAATGGGTTTGGGCTTTCTGGCAGTCAATCTAGGCACGGAAAGATGAGAAAGTTTAAATGAAGAATAGGTTTTCCCTCTGCGACAGAAGGTTTCCCATTTGCCCTCAGAGTAAATAACCTTGAGGCTTCAACCTGCAAAGTCAGGATAGCATCGTGTGGAAAGATGGTTATTTGGGAGGCTGGTGGGGTCTCTGAAAGGGCCTATCCTGTCCTAAGCTTTGTCTCCTGCTTCCTTGTGCTGTTGGGTATGTTTTAGAAGCAGCAGCAGTGACTACCCTATAGCTTCCACTCACTGGTGATAGTTCCATACTCTGGAACCAGATACATAAGTGAAATGTTTTTCTGCATAACATGTATTGGCCTCCTTCTAAGCTGGTTCATGTCCTCCTTTGAATGTTTCTTGTCATCCTCCCGGTTACTCTGTGTTTGGTCAATGTCTTCAAAAGGGTGACGTCTGGTACTGAACCCCACCTTCCAGAGATGGTTGGCCTAGCTGTGGTCTCAGGCATGATTCCCCCTGTTAAATGAGACCTCTGTTCTAACCAAACGAAGGCAGGCTGGGCACTGTGGCTCATGCCTGTAATCCTAGCACTTTGGGAGGCCCAGTTGGGAGGATGGCTTGAGGCCACGAATTTGAGACCAGCCTGAGCAATATAGTAAGACCGCATCTCTACAAAAATAGAAGAAAAAAAATAACTGGGTGTGGTGGCATGCACCTGTAGTCCCAGCTACTCAGAGACTGGAGGTTCACTTGAGCCCAGGAGTTTGAGGTTGCAGTGAGCTGTGATGATGCCACTGCACTCCAGCTGGGGTGCAAAGTGGGTCATCATACCAGTTGTCTGGGAGCTGAACTTCAAAGTCAGTGTGAAAAGGTTTTCTAACACATTATTGTTAAGCCTGGTTACTGTTTCAAATATATTATTGTTATGCCCTCCTTATATTTTTGTACCATTTTTCGTTTTTTGACTTAGGTGCAAAATTTTCTACTTATGTCTCCTTTTATATATAATTAAATTATGTGCATGATTTAATTATATATAAAGTATATATGCAATTTATATATTTAATAATGTAATTTATATTATTTAATTATATAATTTAAATATGCACTTTATGTATAATTCTTTAATTAATTACATATTTGCATATATATTTGCTTTCAAAATCAATGACTGCCACATCTCAGCTATTGCAATTTTCTGCCAACCAGTATAGTTTTTATATCAACCAGCTTGGGGAATCTTCACCTTTGATATTCTATTTTTAACCTTTCTTCTCAGATACAAGTGACAAATGCACTGGTCAGATTTGAGCAATGACACTTAAAAATTTTTCTTTTGTTCGATGCCCATCAATTAATGAAGGCTCTCAGAGAAGATCAATCAACACTTCAGAGACAACTCTATAAATCGACCTAAGTAACTACACGGCCAGTGCATTGACATTCTAAACATTGACTTGTGGTTACTTTAAATCAAGGACAGATATGCCCATAGAATGTAGATTAGTGCAGAGACACCTCAGGTAAATTTCCCACCAGACTGCCTGGAGTATTCCTCCTTCCCACCCAGGCTGTCCCAGTGTGACCCCAGCCCCACCTCTCCAAGGTGTCCTTCCCCCACATCTATTCTACTCTAACTACTGTTGGAGGGCAGGGCCTTGAAAGATAGAGGCAGACAAAGGCAGGAATGTAAAAGGAAAAGATCAACCTTGCCTTGGCCACAGGGGAAGTGACAGCGTGTTGCCTTCACTCCTACAAAACTTCAGGACTGCGTATTTGCAACCAAAGGGGATCAAAGTAAGAACTTTCTGGAAACATCGGAAGACACAGTGGGACGGACAATGCTCCCGGCGAGGTATAAAACATGCTTTGGTGAAACAGATTTGCCCCTGGACTCTAAGTCAGGCGAGTTCAGTGTGAGCTCACACGTCCCAGGGACTGGGTGGCCAACAGTGTGTGCTTCTCAGCAACACGTGGACCTCATTCCCTGACAGCTTCTCTCGCTCTTCTACTGCTTGTCTAAAAGGAAACAACAAAAGCATGATAGATCTTAAAATGCGTAAGATAAGAGATATTCAGACCAGTTTGTTGAAAAATTCCTAGAATCACTCTCAGGAGCTATGATGAATTTTCTTTGCCTTCTGCCTTTCCTGGGAGTTATTTTTAAACTCTGAACATTCTGGACCTGCTAGTTTTTGGAGCATAGGGGTTGTTAAAGTTCCCTTATTCTGGGTCCACTGCATGGCTCAGCATTCTGACTGGCATGTGGCAAGTGTTCAGGGAAGGCTGCCTTGACTGAACCAACATCCTCATGGTCATGATTTGGGGAAAGCTTGAGAAGTTCTCTTGGGAAGGCATATTGTTTTAGTGTAGCCATATTTTTATTTGCAAGTGCAATCTACATTTATTCAAATATAGTTTAGTCATCTTCTTCTAGAACATCATCATAACTCCAAACACAGAATTCCATCCTGAATTCCTTGAGACTCTAGTTTCTTTAGAACCATTGGCCCCAATCTCTCATGTCGAGCAATAGAGCTCTCATGGGGCAGATGAGAAGGGCTGCTCGTCTTCTTTACCGCTGCGCAACGAAATGCATGGGTTGTGCAGATGCTCTGAGTAGCCATGCCCATCACTAGAGCTTATTAGGGTAGGGTTTATATTCCACAAATGCTTAGAAATCCTACTAGGACTTATTTTATGGGTAGGTCTTATTTTTGGGGAAACACGGTATTATTCATGCATGAACACTAGAAAGTCCACACAAAGAGAAAGTTTCAGGATCAAACTATATGCTAATGACTATAGATTTTCCATTTTGCTCAGCTACAGAAAATATAGCATATTTCTCTTTAAGGTTCATTACGTGTAAATTACTAAGTCAGGCAGTCGAGTTTATGTGTTTATACAGCATGAAGATGTGTTAGGACTAAATGTGATACAGCAATGTTTTTGTGCATTTTCACACAACCTGTCTGCTTTATGATTCTCACGTAGCATGTGAGTAAAGGCAATAACCAGTCATGGTACAAATTTGCAAGTTGGATGTATAGCAATTAGAATTCATGCTAATAAATATTTATTAAAACTCAGAAACTCTTCCAGCCAAACCAGAAACTCCACATGTACTGTATACTGTGACAGTAATTAAACTATACTAATAAGTTTACAGTTGTTATCTGTATAATTTCCAAAGTTAACCGTTCATAAGAGACACAGGTGGCATTTTCGAGCTTATTTATATCTCTTATTGTATCGTCAGCAAAATTGTAAATTTTCAGGGTTAGAAAACACCGTAATACCTTTCTGCTATTTTTTTCTCATAAGATAATGCTTTCTTACCTTGAAACTGAGCGTTGAATCCTTTGCGCCGATGGTTGCTGTCGGAGGTGAAATGGAGACGTAACCAGTTCTTGCTGCTGATGACAGGGGAGGGGAGGTTCATGCCCGTCAGCCTGGAGAAGTGAAAGAGGAAAAAAAATCTCCCTTGTAAACCAACAGAGCAAATGGCCTGCATCAAACCTGCTTGAAAATAGGATTACTGACATTCTTCATTTCGAGATGCTTAAGACAGAGGCCACTTCCTGGTCTTTAAGTGTTAACGTGATTCAGATCATTTTATTTTTGCCCAAATACAAATACCATATTCCCCGATGGCATGAAGGCTTTCAAAAAAATGTGGCATTTTTATTGCTCTCTATCAATGATGGATACGTGAGAAGATGTTCTTTGGATCTCTCGGTCCTTCCCATCAGGACCTCAGTCAAAATGAGGCAAAACGAGAAAAGGAAATAGGCAGATGATAAAATACTGCCTTTCTCTATTTGAACACTTAGCATTTGACCTGAAGTAGACTCAAAGGAGCTGTTTGTCATGCTGGGCAGCAAGCCACCTTCCCAGCAACCCATCTGCAGGCAGGGTTCACAACCTGGCCCTTTCTGACCGAGGTAGGAAGATGGGCATTGATGAGATTGATGACAGGAACTGTGGGAGAGAGTTGAAATGGAATAAAATTATGTTGTACGGAAGGAGGAGAGTCATCTTTTTTAAAAATAAGACACGATTTCTGGTTAAGCTGTTTAAGATCTCTAGTTCACTTTACAGCGTACAGTTTAGCTGTCAGAAACAATCATGCACTTTACTTCCTATTATTGAAAATGTGTGCTTGCTTAGGGAGTAAAAGCCTTCTCAGGTAATAAACCTCCTGCCCATTAGAGGTATGAGGGATACGTTTAGTTCTGGCCAGTGGTGGGAGCATCATTGGGTTTGGATGCTGCAGACATAGCATTGCACTGGCTCTGCCTTGTACTGGCCGAGGTCCCATGGTTGGGCCATGTTCTATGAACCTCAGTTTCCAAATCTGTTAACTGGACGTGAAAACACCCACATCAAGGAGTTGAAAGAGACGAGACAGATGTGCATGTAAAGGAACCTGAAGCACATTCTTCATGTGACTTACACGTGGTCACATAGTGAATACTTATTTTGCCTCTCAGTTACCAAAACCTGTCTTCGAAATAATGGAATATTGGCGTAGGTTGTCTGTGAGGGTTTCACCAACTCACAGAACTCACCAACTTAGCAGAACCTGAGGCACTGTGGTGATCTTAGTGGGCTGGCCTGGGAGCACCATGGCTACCTGGTCAAGCTGGGCATCTTATTTCTATGCAAAAGACTTGCTGGGCAGGGGTCACCTGTGCAGAGCATTTCCCTATTTATTCTGTTACCTGGAGGAAGCAGCATCTCATGGAATATGTGGTCAGGCTTTCTAATGTCAGGGTGCTCCATTCCAACTGCACGGCTTGCAAAGGCTCAGTATCCATTTAAAGTTAAAAGCCAAACCTTGACTGTAACCAATCGCAACAATGTTTATGTCACCGTTTGAAATAATCTTCTGTAAGAGGAAGTGCACTGCTTGGATTTGCCTATTTGCTTGGATTTGTGTAGTAGTCACTGGTGACAGCTGGACAAGGCTGACGCCAAGACACATTTAATCACCTTTACTCTTTTCTGGTGAGATTGTATTACAAATTCTACGGGTTGCGCACCTCTTTGCCTAATACTGAGGAAGCCCAAAGTACAAACCATGTAAAAAGCACAAAGGAAAAATAAGTTCAAGATTCAAAAACCTACAGACTATGCAGCTCGCCTGTGTGTATGTACTTAAGGAACTTTTTATAAATGAAATCCAAGTTTATTATTTTGTTGCTTTAAAAATGTTTTCTTGGGGGAGGATCAAGATGGCGGACGAGAAACACCGCCAGACAAAGCATCTCTGCAGAAAAGTCAACTTCTAGCAGAAATTAGAAAAAAGAAGCAAGAAGACGAGCATACAGCGGACGAGGGCCAGAAGGAGGGGTACCTGAGACCCCGGGATACTCCACGGGAGGAGGTTGCAGAGGAGAACTGGAAGCTGAGACCACTGGAGCAGCCCAGAGACCAGCGGGAAGGGTAGGTGGATAATTCACCTTTCCCCTCCCCTTCATCTGGGACTGCTGGTGGGCTCCCCATCGAGTGGAGAGACCTGCGGACACCAGGCCAGAGACGGCCACCACCAGCCAGCAGTGAGCCTGTAGCGGACGTGGCACCAGGCTCCCAACTCCCTCCGGGCACCTTCGTGTGCACAGACCCGAGCAGCACGGCAGGTGCCCTATTCCCTCCTTCTCCCCTCCACAGACCCTACCCGAGGATGCCCAAAGAGACAATACAGCCACCAGCCGGAGGCACCTCCAGGGAACGGGACCTTCCCTTTTGGGACCCTACAGCTGACGAAGGGGAACTCAGACTATGAGCTCCATACCCACCAGCCCTCCCAGGAGCTGCTGGCTCGGTGATCCCAGGAGAACAGTGCAGACCCTGAGGCTGAGAGACATAGACCCAGCATGGGATCCTTGTGGGTGAATTGGGACCGGCACTCCTCTCCCTGATGGGGATATAGTTTGAACTCTGGGACCCAGAGGTCAGACCTGCAGACCAAATCCCATGCACCGAGGTCTCGCATTGCCCGGGGCACAGAAAGGATATACATAAACAGCCTACTGAGGTGTGTGTGCCTCCAGGGGCAGATCAGCGTCCTAGAGGGCAACCCTCCTCCCAAAAGGAGGCCATGAGTCCAGCCCAGGTGGCCTTCCTGCGCAGGGAACATCCCGGCCAGCATCACAGTCTGGGGAGGCCTGGTGGCATGTGGTCTCTCCTGTTGGCAGAGGTCCAGGAGTAGCTGCAGAGTTGGGAAGAGTGGAAAGAATCGAGGCCCGCTCCAGACTGCGGGTCTCAGACAGCCTCACCCCACACGCAGACTTTCTGGCTGAGCCAGGCCATTCCAGCCCCGCCCTGACAGCTTTTCCTGGAAGCAGAAAATAGAACTTTGACCCCTGCTAACGGCATTGGTGGTGTCTGAGGGCAGGCTTACCCACCTAACGCCACCCAGACTCTCTCCTAGACCAGTCCTCACTGAGGGGGAGAAAAGGACACACCTGAAAGTTTCAGGGCCCCACCCACCACCTGAGGCACTAGAGTGCCTCTCTACAGGAACAAGAGCTGAGAACAGGACACAAAAACAACAGGGTAGCCTGTTCCTCCAAGCAAGTGCCACCTACTGACAGGGAGGGCATCCTGCACAGCCTTTTCACGGCACCTACTGACTCATTATACAGGGAGTGGTTGAATCTCACCCACAGACTCTTGCTTGATTTTTCATGAGTTTCTAAGTATATTTTAGTTATCAGTCCTTATCGGATGCGTACGATGTAAAATTTTCTCCCATTCTGTAGGTTGTCTGTTTACTTCATGACTATTTTTTTGGCTGTGCAGAAGCTTTTTAGTTTGATCATGTCCCATTTATTCATGTTTGTTGCTGCTGTGATTGCCTTTGGGGACTTCTTCATAAACTTTGCCTAGAACCGATTGTTCTAGGAGTGAGTGGGTTTTCAGAATTGTTTTCGCTCAGAATATGGT